ATTTATTTATTTAATAATATAATATAATAATTATCTATTTAAAGTCAAAATAAAAGTTAGAATAAGTAAATTATATTTATTTTTTATTAATTATTATTTAAATAAAATTTTATATTTAATATATAATAATTATCTATTTAAAATAAAAATAAAAGTTAGAATAAGTAAATTAAATGACATATTAAAAAAGAATAATAGACAAATAAATCTAAATATTTCATATTAGAAGCTATATTTATTAAAGTTAAATGAAGAAGGTAAATTAATTAATACATATTAAAATTAATGTTTTAAAATAATTATTATATTTTAACTTTTTTCCTAAATTAAAAATTTAAAGATTTATTTCGTGTTTCTCTATTACCTTAAAAAAAGAAATTTAAAAAAAAAAAGATTTTTATGATATGATCATTAATTAAAATAATGGATAAGGATGCGATTATAATAAAAAATATTTAATTATTTTGAAAAATAATTAATTTGAGATATATTTAAAGTAAAAAATAATAATTATTTTAAAATAAATAAAATACTAACTTTTTTTTTTAATTTTTTGTGTAATTTAATAATTTTAAAATATATTAATTACGCAATTATCTGTGCCTATCGATTGCTGACTTGCCTGATTTCCTAGTTGCCACGTACACACGTTCCTCTGTCTAGTCGCCACTATCTGCCATCAAACACTGACTCAAGAATCGTATGAGCCCCATCACCCATAAATCTCCTCACAGAATCACTCATTTATTTTATTTATTCTGTCAAAAGTGTCAGTTTCAAAACAAGTCTCTCCTGAACTATCAGTCGTGTGGTATTACGTAATGTAATGGTAAAATTAATTGTATTATTAGTAATAGCTTATCATTTAAACTCTACTTTCTACATATGTATATATATATATATATATATAAATTATCCAAGAATATTAACACACCCACCCAAGCCTCACCTTTTTATAAAGATTATAAAAAAAATTAATTTAATAAAAAATTATATATATAATATTAGTACCCATCAAGAAATTTGCAAAGGGTAATTTAATCAAATTTCAACCCTTCAATGGATTTCGCTTGCTCATTGAACAAATCCAAACAGGAATAGCAACAGCTATTTTAGGGATTTTTTTTTGATAAAACTG